CGTTGCGTGGCTTAAAAAAAAAACGGCAGCGAAGGAGATTATCAGAGTTTCCGGATTCAAGCTTCTAGACCAGTCACAGGGCAAAGTAAGGCAACATTAACGCCATCGGGGATCACTTTCAATACTCAATTGAATACTTCATACAAGACAATCGCTCATATGAAGAAAGACTCGATAAAAATCATAAAGATACGATTAAGTTATTTGAAGATTATAAATGATTTTGAACGTTTTATTGTTTTATTAACCGTTGTCTTCATCCGTTTAATAGCAGTCGATCACAACTGCAGTTGTTTATCAGGGCCAGAGGGGAAACAAATGTGCGACATAGGTAAGTCAATGTACATTCCTATCACAAATATTCTTCGTACGATATGCTCAACTAATAAGCGAAAAAGTAAACCCTTCCCATTGATTAGTGCTGCTCTAACACAACCATACTTGCAAAGTTCTAGCGACAACACCGTGCTTTTATTCCAAGAAATTACAGCTCTAAGTGAGAACAGCTAAAGCCACATTGAGATACACTATTAACGGAACTTAGTGACAGGTTCCACCACGTGTGTTGTAGTGTGTTTCTCTTCATGACCACCCCGCATAAAGTTATCATATTAAAGTGATTCCTCAGTATTGCACTGCGCATCCTGAACTCCTCATAATATCGTGCAATACGGGAAATGAGTGGGCGCGCATTCCGAGAACATAGTATTATTTTTTCCATCGATGGGCGAAGAGAACAGGCACGATGGTGTTTTGCTCTTGAACGAGCACGGTGGCCTACGTGTTTTATTAATGGATTTCGGTATACAAATTATTCCATTGAATCAAAAAAAATAATGATCAAAGAATTAGCGGAAAAAAAGATAGAGCAATAAGCGTGCACGAAGCCCGGTACTCGAGGATGCAAATTATGACCTTGAAAGCGAGGACTTGAGGAACGTTTTGAGTCGATGTCACTAAAAATTGAGTGATTTTTCCCTAAATTGTATATTTCATCGTTACTTACGCTATAGACTTTTTACCTATCAGGTGTTTTTTCAACCTTTGCCTCCGACTACCGCAAAATGTACGGTGAACCGATGAAATAACGTTAGTATTAGTATCAGTGCAGGCATAAATTGGGTAAGATTTGCCAATCACAACTAGTTGGCAGGCTCGGTAACCTGTCTTTTTTATTGTTGTTCTCGAAATATAGATTTCTGGAGAATATTCAAGAAAAGCTTCACAAACTATGGTTCGATAACTGTTATTTCTGAGGAATCACCTTAATGCGGAAGCTATTATTTTTACTCGGGATTTCGTTAGATTCTTTGATAATTCTGTAAAAAGAAGGGAAGGGAGAGCAGTTTCACTGGTAAAGCACCCAAGTTATTCCACTAAATTAGCGGTGAATGCTTTGTTAAACATGAAAGCCATTTTAGACCGTCTAAAGGGTTTTCGCAAAATCTCTCTTGAAAATAACTTTCGCACCAATAACGACCGAATTTTAAGTATTTTCAAGTGCAAAAGGATAATGTTTCTACTTCGTAAAAAATCATTCATTTTAGGCGCAAATTGTAGATGCATCTATAATTTTAAAAAA